GACTTTGGTATATGATATTAGGCCATGAGATAAAAATTTATATTAATAAATATAGGATTACTGTATATGGCGACAAATGCCCCAGAACCTGTACAAAGCCCCGAAGGCAGAAAACTATTAAACGCGATAAGGCACAAATGAACGCACAAGGAAGTACCGTAGACGTTTGAGATTTGCAAGTTAAATTACATGGTAATAACATAGCCAACTGGTCATTTCATCAGATTCCTTATGACAGATTATTTGAGCTCTATCTTTAATGTTAAAGAGTCAACGATTCAAGTTTCAGAAAATACCGCTTGCATTATACAGATGTCCGTTCTCAAAATGACGACAATATCTAGCACCGGTGGCCGGTAACAGAATGTTACAGCGGGCGTAAGCGAAATGCGTTGGGCAGGGCCAAGGGACATTCTGAACGTGATTGAAATCCTTTCACAAAATAGAATAGATCCTCTTAGCTATAGTGGGTTCCCTTGGTTGTATGTTTAAGTTTTGTCAATTTATTTCATTGCTTGTTCTTGCCTATCACTGTCGGTGTGAGGGTTATTTGCATGACATCATATACATCAATGGATGGAGACCCTTATGCAGAACTGAGTTTAATACTCTACAGTGCAGGTTTTCACTGCATTAAACAATTCTTTACACCGTGTTCATATCTGAGTTATCAACCTCAAAACAATTGAGTTATTGACTTAATTGGTCATCTTTGTTGTAGTATGCTACAATCGTTATTGGCGGCAACTAAAGCTAAATATATTCAACGGTAGATTTCTGACAAATTGCTACGTGATATGATGCATGGCGGTACACTGACTTCAAACTGCGAACGTAATAATCATCGCCTTCGTGGTTGATTCACCCCTGCGTGAGTCTGATAAATGCGTAAATAGCGCATACTTCTCAAAGATAGGATTTCATTTCAAAGGTAATTGCACCTCGCTTAATTCAAGTTTCTTCGGGTAGCTTTTAAGCAGGCTATGGCACTATGATATTTGAGAATTTGCGCACGATAAACATATCGCACCAATTTGATCTTTAAAGCAACTTCGTGCTCACTGATGGCAATGTCGGAGAAGCCGCTATTCATTACAGGCTACCACATAATATCAAAGCAGCATGTTACACATCACACAAGTCTTTCACAATAAAATTTTATATAAGGAGTTCCTGCTCCTAAAACATTGTTCATAATGAGCGTGAGAGTAATAAAATGTTGCAAGGCGCATCTGGCACTGCAGGTGCTCAAATTCCATAGATAGATAATCTGTCTAAATGACTCACCCAGGCAACTAGGAGCAGGCGGTGCAATTCGCCGTGAAATCTGATTTTCGAAGCTATATACTTTGTTTAACGTACACAGCCGTTCGATAACATTTTACGCCAATGAGAGTGATATAAAATAGCAACTCGGCTTAGGCGACAGTTAACGGTTTACTGTAATTCATTTCTTCACGATGATATTAAAAGGCGTCGGACGCACATCTGAAAGAGATGCATCAGTCCTTCAACTTTCTTTCATTTAATTCAACTTCACAAAGTTAATCCTCCATATATACATCACTTTCATCCTCATCTTCCATCGCCTCTTGGTCGCGGAGGCAGAGGCGTCAGACAAAGCTTCCATCTTTCCCGATCCTGTGTTAGAGTCTGAGCTTCGGCAGAAGACAACTTGAGTCTGGAACGGACTCCTTCCATATATTTCGACCAAGTTAATCTTGGCCGTCCCTTGACCTTCTACTGGTCGGATTTCCCAAAAACAGTTGCTTAGCCTTCCTTTCTGGAAGCATTCGCGACACATGGCCAAACCATCGCAGCTGTGCCTTCACAATCTGGAGAAGTAAAGGTAGTACATCAAGCCTCTCCCGGATGTCAGTGTTCCAGACTATGTCGAGCGCGTAAGGCCAGCGAAACGTCTAAGAAATCCATTTCAGCAGCTTGTATCCCGGTTCAGGGATAGTTCACGACTAATGACCGTACGTAAGCATGGAAATAAAGATCGACCTGAATACCTATAGTTTAGTTTTCACATTGAGCTCTGCTTTAATCACAACGGATCGGGTTACTTCATTCAGAACACCAGAGGCTACTTCAATTCGCCGGTCGATCTTTTCCGCCGATTTTCCATCACTAGTAAATACAATTCGGAGGAACTTCAATTTCGTCATCTACTCCACTGCCTCTCCGCTGATCTGAAGACAGCAACGGGCAGAAAAACGAGAAACCACAGTTTTTTATTTTAAACGCGTTCACACGCATCTCGTCACGTCGCACTCCGCTGGGAACCTTTCTAGGGAGCTCTGAAGATCTGTTTCCGATGATGCCAATAAAACAAGGTCGTCTGCAAACAGAAACCTTTTCGCCTTCACATCTCCTACACTGATGTACTCATCGCTTTGGCAGCTCGTAACGATTCTATCCGTGTGCAATTAAAGCAAGATAGGGGATAGGACGCAGCCTTGGCGGAGACCAGTGCGAACTTTGAATAGTTTCGACTTAACGCCATTAACTCTGACGTAGCACCATAGTGATTGGATGGCCCGTAGCAGCTGGCCATCTATCTTGTATGCTCGAAGGAATGACCACAGACTGTTGCGTGAGATTCGATCACGGGCTTTTTTAGGTCAACAAAACATATGTACACCGGAGGGGGGTACTCCCACGATTTCTCAACAATCTGGCGCAGGGCAGATTTATGGTCAGAGGTGCTTCGACCGGGCCGGAAGCCAAATTGCTCTTCTTGAATCTTCTGGTCAATTATTTCGCGGCACCTCCTTTCTTCAAAATTTGCTTAGAGTTTACCTTCTTCAATATCCCTATTACTGAAGCACTCTCTGTGGTTCCATTCTTGAATAAGGGCAGTACAGCTCCCTTTCTGCAGTCTGTCAGAATCTTCCCTGCTGTCCTTGCACTTTGGCAGATGCGTGTAAGCAAGCATATACCTTGTTCTCCTAATGTTTTGACGATTTCAGGTCGGATTTCACTAATTCCAGCTGAACTTTTAAACTTTAAACTTCATTTTATTTTTCAAACACTTCACAGCTTGTCTTATTTCATCTTCGGAGATAGTAATGTCCCTTCTCCGATGTTCTACAGGTCACTCTTTCTAGCACCTTTGCGTAGACTTTACCTGGGAAGCTCAGTAACGAAATGCCCTTATAATTGGAGCATTCCTTGTGGTCTCCCTTCTTGAATACGGGTACAATAACTCCCGATCTTTAGTCCGCAGTGTTTTTCACGCAGTCATCGCAGACTGACAGACACGTGTAAAGCACCACATGACTTGTTCCCGTAATGCCTTGAGCGGATTTCATCAACTCCAGCAGCCTTTAAATTTTCCTAGCTTTTCACAGTTTGTGCAATTTCATCTACAGAGATAGTATTATCCGTACCCTTCTGCTCTACAGGCGAGACTTCCTGCTGTTGCACGGGGTTAAGGAGTTCCTCAAAGTACTCCCTCCATCGCTGAAGAATGTCATCATCCTA